TATATATATATGTGTGTGTGTGTGTGTGTGTGTGTGCGTGTGTGTGTGCGTATGTGCGTGTGTGTGTGTGATTGTGCGTGTGTGTGTGTGATTGTGCGTATATATATATATATATATATATGTGTGTATATATTAAAAGTGTGTTGTATTGTCTGCACCTGTATATATTTATGGGTATATTCACGCTACCTGGATAAGCATATGTGACTATTGTGTACACATATGTACATATATATCTTCATGTGTGTGAGAGAGAGAGATAGTACACCGATGTATACCTGCTTACATACCTTCGTAGTGAACATTTTCTTCGCTTTGCCTATTACGTCAGTCTCTGGCCTTCTCCTTGGCGGGGTTCCACTGTATTCTGTAACCGATGATTCTGTTAATGATTGCCAGTAATGCGATGTGTGGCACATCACATCGCTTTTCCCGAAAAAAAAAAACCTTTGTCGTAAAGGTAATATAAATATATCTGGCGTACATCGAATCAGTAACATATGCTTTATCGAGTGTCCTACAGTTTAGACTCTCTTCACATCAACTTAGCTCGCGTGTAATACTTCCCTTTGTAATTCCAGTGCTGTATTCTCTATAGCAATTTCTCACGAAAATTCTCATAAAAGAGAATTCTCATAAATATGCAGACATATCGTCATCGACTGCCACTGTTCCCATCTCATAATTGCAAGCCCATTCGTATGTCCAACTTATTCAGTCCCCAATACAATTTTAGGCCTAATCGCACCTATTATCGTTCAGCTTGTTTATACGCACCACCCTTTTTTAACTGTAACTCACACATGTCTCCATTCTGTCGCAGGTATGTGCTGGCGCCGTAGGTCTAATAGGACCAACCCTGCTGTCGTGGCTCATCTTTAGGTTCCGTAACGACCTTGCCACGTTCGTTGTGTAGATCTTCATTGTGTCTGCATCGTACATGTACGCAATGAACGCCATCCAGGTACGATATAAGCGTTTTGCTGAAACATGCCTATATATACGCAAAAATAGATGGCATAGGCTTGTCATGATATGCCGTATAGAGTGTGTTGTGGATATACGTCTGTATGATTGTATATAGAGATGACTTTCATTGAAGCTTATGAACCCTACCTCAGAATAATTGTAAGCCCCGAGAGTCCGAGATAATCAACAGTCGCAGATCTCAATCGCAAAATCCAGCGAATAAATATTGCATTCCTCTATACTTACCGTGAGAATAGTATATTTATACTTAAATTTATACATCCATATGCATGTACATGGATTAGGTGATGAAGTCGGCGTGCAAGCGCACCATTGTGTTGTAAATCTTGACGGTATTTGCGGATATGTTTATATATATATATATGTTTGTGTATGCGTATACAATCATCTTGCATCCGTAACTATAAGTCAAATTATTTCATACATATACATATGTGTACTGATCATGTGTATTTGAATCTTTAAGAGTCTTTATCGACACATCAAACTGGCAGTGCTGATTGTATCGATGAGTGCAAATTTGATGTCTTGTGTTGTCATGCTGGACTGATATGCTGAACGCTACCCCGCATATAAAAAGACTCTCCAACTTCATTCGTAAGGACCAACATCATGAGTCGAATTGTTCTAGATACAGAGATGTACGGTATAATTCTGCCAAAAGGTACCCGTAAATCTCCTCTGAAGTGACGCTCTGTAAACAAACAACCAAGCATGATGTATTACATAAATTAACAAACCCTCACCTTTCAAGTAAAGCAAAATCTGCATTCTTCAAATTTACCCCAATTCCGGCGTGCGGATGTCGACTATAGCATTATTCTAAAAGTAACCTTCAATTGTTATATTTCATCCACATTTGAACTCGGTGTATCCATGACCAACCCTGTAGTCCACCAAGACCCGCAAGCAACGTTGCATGTACACTACCTCACTTCGTGAAATGCATCATCACTATATGTAACGATCTTAAGAATGCCGAATAGTGACAGAGTAAAATAAATTTACCTTCATTGTAGTCGAATCTATGCCTTGTACAAGTTAATGTATATTATTAGTATTGGAGTATCCTACATAGATCTTTCTTGTATTTCTGGATGTGCTTGTCGTTCGATTCTTCTGAATACCTTCTACAGATCCCTCACCGCGATATCGGAGTTACACCCCCTTTATTTTTCTTACCAATCCCATCCGGATCATTGTAAGCCATTCGCAAACAACGACAACGCCGAAAGGGCCCGCGCTGCTTAAGTGTGGCACAAGATGTCTGATCGGGAGTGTTAGGGGTGTCACAGAACACCAGACTATCCACTTGGGATGGTTGAGCAGGCTCCTCGCAGCATCATCCGTTCGCCCGTGGTAGAGATACAATTGGTGCAAAGGCGTTCCGCTCTGAGTTTATTGACGGTACAGTGTATCATTGCAAACGTGCTCTGATAACAGCAAACATGGCTACTACCGCTGGTGCCGCTATTAAGCAGGGCGAAGCTCGCGCGAAGCCTTTTGATGTGTTGCTGTTCGACGATGTATTAGCAGCGGTCAGCCAGTATATCTCCCTACTCTCTGTAAACAACTGTAGTAAGCCTTACAGACGAACGTGGCAGCCCTTCCAATACAGAGTCTCTCCTGTTAATTTCTAAACATCAGGATTCTCACCACGCTTGATCGAATATATGGCAAATCAATAGCAGTTTGGTAGACACACCTTCGTATAGCGGAATCTCTCTTACACTATTGATCTAATGGCGAGATTAAAATTCTACTCATACTCGCAATTTATGATTGCTTTCTCAGTGTTGAGCTAAACGTACCCAGTCAAATTAAATGTACTACTGATAGTGCGAAAGACGAAGTTGTAAACTTGTCACAAGCCGGCATTAGCCCTGTAATGATATTAAGTTACATGGAAATTTTGTCTAGTTATGGTTAGTAGCTGCGATAGTCGTATAAGATTGAGCTTGATACTCATAGTGTGGAATAAACAAAGTTGCGAACTTGCTTCAAATTGCGATATTAAACCAATCCTGTAAAGATACCAAGTTATATGAATTATTAATAATGTAAAGATATCCAGGTTGTATGATTTCAATTTAACGTAGTGATGGTGGTCAGTTATGACAACCGTGCCGTACTCGACCACCTACCTCGGCTATTGCAATTTTGCTTAAAGATACCTATCACTTGCGTTTTTGAACAGCAAATACGGTATCTGCGATGTGTCAGTGTTACTTTATGGACCCAGGTCCAACCGCTCATCGTGCTGATTACAATATCCCCGGCCCTCTCCCCCACATACTATCAGCAAAATCCTTCTTTTGGCCGTTCACATCCCCATCCTGGGAACTAATCAGTCGAATAAATTTTATGTAAGAGTATACAATTATCTAGTCCAGAATTAGGCGGTCTGGGCTTATTTACTATAATGAGCCATTCCTTTATTAAACACTGCCCACTATTATATTGGATTCAGAATTGTATAGCTGCTATTGACCTCACAATCCACATGCAACCCGCTACAATCAGCCTGGCGTATGTATATCGCCCAGACCATGCTAATGCCCAACAGCGCCGCACGCTATGGAATCAATCAACATCGTTAGATTCAATCCAGAATATAAGACCTAGATGATGCAATAAGACCAAAGAAAAATCGTCATTAAGTATAGAAGTGTTGAAACGAATTGAGTGACTAGAGCGGAACAAGACAATAGTCTCAGTCTTAAATCCCCTAATCTTAGCTCATTGCTGAGGGCTGAAGCAAACTTAAATTACATTGTGCAAATTTACTTATAAATCGTACTTTCTTTTACGTTCACTTGTTGACATAGATAGTCAGCCCGGTAAGTCTGGCTTTTACATAGTTTTAATTCTATAATCCGCTATCGAGACTATGACGAAGCGTAAGGGAAAGGCGAAGGCAATTAAAAGCCAACCGACGGTCACGCCTCTTGAACACTCTTTGACTCCTGATTTATAGGCGGATGAGAACGTGGCAATTATGATGGCACACGCCCTACTCACAGAAGTCTTTGACAACGCGATGGAAGGTAAACCACCCAAGTCTATGAAGTTAAAAAAACTTAAGGAGAAGAAAGGCGAGAAAGGCCCTACGAAGCATTCGTCAAACGACCCGCTAAAGCAGTCGGAACAGCCGGAGTCGGAACCGAAGAGCCCAACACCGCAAGGTCAAGTGGCTCTGCCATCCGAATCAGAGCCGAAGCCAAATTCTGAAGGTGAAGACTCAGACGACCGGGACACCGACGATTACATGCGCGAGTTACGAAAATTACAAGGATCGGAAGAAGACCGGCAAAAGAAAACCCACGGTGGAAGAGAAGTCGAAAATTTCCAGCGGAGACGAGAGTCGATCACTGCCAGAGTTTGAAGAACTAGACCTCGTTAGGGCCGGACTATCAGCCGCCGTCCGCCAAGCGTTCGAAGACATCTACGGCAACGACGACGATGACTACGCGCAAGAAGGGACGGAAGGATGACGGTCCCGATGGAGATGATCAGCGACTGCATGGTATGAGGGAAACGGACACATCAGTTGATGAGATTTTGGAGAGTGACAAGAAGATTGCTGATTTCACAGCTCGGATGCTAAACGCAGAAGAGGACGCGACGCTAGCGATGGATCAAGGGAGGATTAATCAAGCAAGCTTGAGAATGACGATAGCGAAGCATTTTCAATCCAAGATTGATACAGAGCTACGCATTGTATACGCCGAGAAGACGGTGAACAGTAAGAAGTTTGTCAAGGATATAGGTAAGTTACCCACTACGTATCGTCCAGATCGGAAAGACTGTAAGGACCCTATCAAATACCATATGTTCATACATTGTATCATACATACTTGCCATTTTTAAAATAAATAATATTATCCCTATCAATAGGAGTAACTTAGTGTTATTATCGAGATTTTTAAAGGAATTTGGTCAAATCATGCTTACTGCAAACTTACGTAAGAACCTATGGTCTGAGTCTGCGCAACAGAGTTTCAAGCCGTCATCTTATAAGTATAATAAGTTGGAGAAGGCAAAGGCTGCTGTAGCAAAGCTGAAAACGTGGAAGGAGCAGAGCGAGATGATAGTCCATCTGTTCTCAACAGACCCCAGACCGGAATTGCTGGTATCACCGGATGAAGGGACACCAGTGTCATAATACCTTTTGGAACTGGACACCCATATATCACGTGCTCAGACACAAGAGATGTCATCTGACAAGTTGGGCATGTGTGCGTTGTGGGTACAAACAATCTTTTGATCGGCCCTTCATCGAAAAGACCAAGAGGTCTTGTACGCCGACATGCATCAATCTTATCCCGACAAGGTACGTGCGATTTCAATTGAAGGACAAACCTATGGTTTCATGAAACTCGCCGACCTGACTTGGACTGAATTTTACTCGAGAGCAGACCAGACGTTTTCCAAATGGCCGAGTTCTGTGGTGAAATTCATACCGCTAAGTAAGAAGACAGTGCCCAACACGAATGGAGGACCTGGTAGTGATCGAGACTCACATACGGGAACGGGAAACCAGAAAGGGAACAAAGGTGAATACAGAATTGGCCAGAAGAATATGCATGGGCAAGGTGCTGATGGTTAAAAGAACAATGTCAACGCTAAAGAGACCTTGGGAAACAAATTCACCCAGGCAGTCGAGCCTCCTAAACCGAAGTATAAGGAGGTCAAGGATTGTGCTAAGATGGATTGCGGCTGGCGCATCAACATGAGCCGAATGGACGCTGGAATGGCAGGCACGCAGAGAAATGTAAACATTTTATTGCGAAGTGTGCAGACTGCGCAGGGACTGGAGGTTACCACAAACACATGTATAAGGTGCAACCGAAGGTAGAAATTAAGTGACAATCTTACCGGATCTTGGCACTGAACAAAAGGATGCACCTCAAGATGAGGGGGTCATTCTAGATGTACGAGTTAATGAGCATGAAATAAAAGCGTTGTTGGATCCGGTTTCGCAAATTTTATGTATATCATCGAGATTCTGTAAGATAACAGATTTCACTCGTAAGTTAGAACCTACTATGTTAAAACTAGCTGATGAAGGAGAGATTACATGTCGTGACATGGTCGTACATTTGAGGTTTACCTTCACTGATCAACGGTCAAAAGGGCAGTCGTCTGCAACACTTCGCCAGACTACGATTTAATAGTGGGGATGGGGGATCTTTTGTCGTTAGGTATCACAATCAACGGCCTACCTACAAACATTAACCCACAAAAGGGTCAGTCATGATAATCTGCTCAAGCCTGTACACAAGCCTTCTAAGACTGTGAGAGAGACGATGCCTCATTTCACAGAGAAGCTTAAGGATCGTATCTTTGAGAATAATTAGATCTAGATTACAGACTGGGCTCAGTTTAAATTCAATAATTGGTACGTGAGCTTCGGACTGAAGTAGACTTTTCGAAGTTGAAATGTCCAACAAGAAACTATGTAACATGGCGTCTAGAACAGGTAGTCCAAGAGAACAGGTTAAGGCATGGTTGGAAGACGGGGTAATTGCAGCCTACGAACCGACTCCAGTCAATCTCGCACTCTTGGCGGTGGACCAGATTAACCCAGGTGGCATGTTAGAGAAGGTTCGCGTGTGCTTGGATATGAGTTCTATAAACGCTCTTATACCTACACACAATTTTTATCTACCGAATATTATTGAATTGCTGAGAAGAATGGAAGGGGCGAAGATATTTTCGACCATCGATTTAAAGCAAGGCTACCAGCAGTTGAAGATATACAAACCACATCGGAAGTATTTTACCTTCACTTGAGATGGACAGCAGTATTCATTCAAGGGAGCACCATTTGGTCTACATATGTTCCCAGCTTTTTTTCAGCAGATCATGCAGGACCTGTTTAGGGACATGGATAATGTACAGGTATACATCGATGATATTGTGGTGTTTACCAAGACCAAATAGGAGCACGATAGAGTTGTGCAAGCAGTTTTGGCAAGGCTAAAAACAAGCACAAGTTCAAAAACTACAGCAAGAAATGTCAGTTTGGTGTAAACGCGATACAGCTGTTGGGATACCGAGTCTCTGGGGAAGGTATTATGATCGACCCCGGAAAGGTTGAACGCTTGTTAGATTGGAGAACTCACACTACAGTCAAGGACATTAATAGCATGTGCGGATTCGTCAGCTCCCTGTTAGATGGAGTTCCACATTTGGCAAGCTACCTCAAGCCTTTTGGACATTTACGATGTCACAAGGGTAAATTGGGAGCGTTGTGAACCAAAGAATGTGATGATGCCTTAAATCAGCTCAAACCAGTGTTTCAGCAGGCTCCAGTAGTCCAGTCGCCGAAAGATGGAATTCCCTTCATGGTGGCTACAGACGCATCCAACATGGCGTTAGGAGACGTTCTGTATCAAATGATAGACGGGAAACCAAGATATGTTCAATTCTTTAGCAGGGCTACGAATTTATCACAAATCAACCACCCGACGGTGCAACAGGAGCTATTAGCTATTGTAACGGCACTCACTCATTTCAAGGACTGCCTATACGGTACACACTTCAATGTACTGTGCGATCAGAAATCGTTGCAACATCTAAAGGACATGTAACCCGATTCACAATTGGTCAGTCGATGGCACGATACGATCGCAAAAGTTTCGTTTAGCATTACACATATACCGGGGATACACAATCACTTACCGGATATGCTGTCACGCTTTGTACAGGACTTCAACAAGATGGTCCACGAGTTGCTAGCTACCGATTGGATGGCCAATCCTAGATGGATTAAGATTGCAGACAACATATATTGTCCACACACCATTGATATGTTTGCAGCACATCATAATGCGCAGCTGTCGCGATACCGGGCTCTGGAATATCCAGACGGTGATGGGTTTCAAATCGACCTAACAGATGAGAACGCATGAGCAAATCCACCGTGGGTTGATACCACAGTTGCTAAATTATGTACATATACAAAAGTTGTGTTGTTCCCTAAGACATTCAGATAAATGGCTTCCACAGTTGATATTGATGCTACAATGTGAGCCCATATAAGTGGATTGAGAGGTAGATACTTTCCGCTACCAGGGTACCCGTGCAGTCCAGAAGACACCTTGGCGACATACGGTTATATGTCGAATAGGTACAGTTGGAACATCCAAATGAACACAATCTGAGACCTTCAAGTGTAAGGTTGAAAAATCTAAAATTTACACTCTTGACACCTATGTCTCAACGAAAGACTGGGACGACACACGCACCTGCAGTATGCGTCACCGAGGTACAATCCTCAAAGAGGAACTCATCACTAGCGAAGGTCTTCTATAAGAAAATACGTTAAGGCAGAGCAACTGCCTATGAAGCCGAGACGAGGTTGTTAGCAACTGATGAACGACATTCCAGAAGTGTACGATCATGTTACACAACTAATAGACAATGAGACCATTAGTAGAATAGATACGCCAGACCTTTCAGGCGAGATTGGTCTAGACGAGTCTTTTAGCCCAAGTGATGTAGTAGTGGAATCCTCGCCTCCAGACTTTGACACAACAAGTTCATCGGAGGACGAAATTCTGACGTGGTTAAGGCAAAATTACGCTCTTAAACACATGGATAAGGTTAGGACTGAGAAAGATTGTGAGTGGTACGGGATTGTACACCCAAAGCTTAAACAATATATATCTCAGGTGTATCACGAATGTAACAACTACGAAGTTAACCGGATCAAGCGCTATGGATATGCCCCATTGCGGAGTGTATCAGAAGACGAGCCGTGGCACAGGGTTGCCATTGATTTGTGGTTGAGCTACCCACATCCGAACACACGAAAGATAGGTGTGTCTGCCACGTTTTTGATGTTACTTCAAGATATAACGTACTATACCCTCTGAAAGACAAATCAACACAAACTGTGGCTGAGTGTATATATAAGTGTTTCGCAGATTTTGGCTGGCCAGCTATTGTATATACCGACAATGGTAGTGAGTTTACAGAAGATGTCATGACGACACTGTTACTCGTTGCGGGATCATGCCACAGGATGGGTGTACCTTATAAGCCTCAGACACAAGGTGCGAAAGAGGTACGACATAGAAAGATGAAAGAGTTCATGCGTGGAGCGTTGCTAGACAATGCTGACATGTGGTCATACTCAATTATCTGGGTACAGACACAAATGAACGAGTCACCAGATTCAGTAACTGGTACAACACCCGCTCACTATTTCAGGGGCTTTTATAGTGAACTACAAGTACCTTTCAACAAAGATTCTCAGGAAGGTCATGTGTTACCATGGTTAGAGAAGATGCGTTGAACCAGAGACGTTGTGTTTCCTGCTTGAGAGAGATGAAGGATACCGCACTCAGGAAGAGACAAAAGCGATGGAATGATTCAAAGAAGATAGTCGAGTTTGAAGTGGGCGATACAGTCAACATCATGGCTCGCAACTCCGACACAACTGTGCTTACGGCTAAATACATTTGACTATTCAAGATTTCAGTGGCCGATAAGAAAGGCGGAACTTACGAAGTTAACAATGCTGATGGTTCAAGTGCTCTCAATATCGGATCACATCGATTTCCGACGACACACGTGAAGCTATTACACCCCTTATGTCTTACGAGTTTAAGAAAACTTTAGGGAAGTACAAATATGAAGATAAGACTTACTATACAACGAAGGATCTACCTCCATAGGCATTCGATGACCCAGACATATTGAAGGCTTTTAATAAGAAGTTTTGCAAACGCCTACATAAGAACAAGGCAGATGCAGAGGCTATCTTATTGACAAACAAACGTCCTGACATAGTTAATGTTTATCCGCAGACATCATTCGTTCCAAGTTTCAAAGATCATGGAATGTACGTACCCCCTTAAGGCACTAAGAAACATCCCATCCACCATCGGGTACCTCAAGGACCTAAACCCAAATGTAATAGAGTAACCGAGGAACTTATAAAGTCTAAGTATACTTTGTCTAGGAGAAAATAATATAAGCATTGAGGCCATTCTATGATCGAAACCCGATACTTCTTTTCGCTTGTACAATTCACGTGAGCTTTTTGAATCTATGTGCTTCAAATCGCATATAAGCCAACATTGTAATTTTCAATCTGGAGGGGGGGGGGGGGGGGGGGTAGGGGCTGTGTAAAATCAGCGGGTTCCTATAATAGAAGCACATGTTAAACGTATA